GCATTACTTCTCTTGAGCTCCAAGTATGTCTGTTTGCCTGTTTAGTTCGTAGATATGGCCAAGCATGACTCTTACGACTTACTTTTTCATGAAATGGTAGTGGTATGTAGGGCTTTCAGATGGATTTCAGCTATGATATGGGGTTTTGTCTTTTATGATCAGCTTATTAGCTAACTTTCCAGTCAGTAAGTTGAATGGCAGGCTATGCTGTAACAGTTCTATTCTTGATTGCCAAACACGTGGTCTTACCTCAATTAATAAATCCATAACTAGGGAAATAACTAAGGCTCAAGAATTTACACAATGAGTGCACCTTTGGAACCTCGCAGCATAGCTTAATAAATTGGAGCAAGGAAGCTCCATAGGCACGTTCACCCAAAAAATTCAAGTAGTAATCCCTGCCTTCAAAAGTGACCAAACACTCGTGCTGTTTATCTAAAACTACCTATTTCTCATGTATTTAATTTCTTGACTACCGCTGCTCTATTTCAGTTGTTCATAATTAAATTCCTGGTCATGTATTAAGCCATACATGACCAAAATGTCGTACTGTGTCTCTAATACCAAGCCTTATTAGTAATTCGTTTGAAATTTCAAACGCCTATTTCGATAGTCTAGAGAATTTTTGGAGCTCTGTACTTTCTGGAAGCAAGCATACCGTCAAATGCAATTGTCGGTATCTTAGCTTAACAATCAGTAACAACAAGTTTTCAATTATTTTACTTCATATACACTTATACAAGTATACCTAGGAACCATGGGCCATATATTTTATATGATTAAAATCTAAAAATCTATACCTAAAAAATCTATATAATAAAATGTCTGCCCAATACATAAATAAGTATATTGATTAGACCTCAGATATATGAATAGCGGATAGTTCAAGAATATGATATTTATAATTTGTGTATACTATTTGATGGAAAAACTCATTTGCAATATTTCAAGACATTACGAATACTTGTTCGATGAAATTGAAATTTTCAATTTGAATGAATACACATAACTAAAGCACCCCTTTATGTGAGAGTATGTGAATATGCTAATTTATCAGAATACATGACCAGCAGCAGTAATTTATATTATCGGGAACGGTTCCATTTTGAATTACACTCTTACTTAAGTTGATTCAAACGAGCTTATAAGAAGCTTTCGCATTAGCAATTAACATTAAGTAATACAGCATAAGGGAATACCCAAACGCTGTTTCGTTCTGCCGATAAATGTTATTTTATTAAGCAATTCAGCTCCTTGATAATGCTATCTATTCAAGCTAAAAGTTGCTCATGCAGGCCTGTTGTGTAGCGACAAATACTATACTAAGTACACGTAGGCAACTGGTGTTGAAAGCAAATTTATTCAGTATGTGAAGTCCAATTTTCAAATTAACATTTTGGATACAACTGTTTTAAAACTACTTGTATGTTTCTAAATGTCTTCTCAAAATACGTACCAAGTTTATCTCTTTTTGCTCTCTTTACTTATTTAAGAAACATTTTTTAAATCATATATTTTATAACAAATTTACACACATACACCTTTCTTTTTGCTTTTAGTTTGGATATTATTATTTTAATGATTTGTTGTTCTTTCTTAGAGATTTTCGTTATTCTTTATAGAGCCAGAGCTTCTCTGTAAACGATAGTTGATGTTGTTTTATTTTGGGGCAGAAAAATAAATGGATTTTCAGGAGCTCCGACCCGCGATAGGCAAACATTCAGTTGGCCGTGAATAAAACACTCCTCTCGTCGGTCGATCTCTAATAATTCGAAGGTTTGACCTTGAGATGTGCCTTAACCATTAACGCAAACGATGCTTTTACCGGAAATTTAAGCCGTTTAAATGGTATTGGCAGATCAGTTGGGATCATGGGTATCCTCGGTATATGATCCAGTTGGCCAGCTGCTGGGCCGGTGGTAATGGTCCCTACAATTTAATTGTCCTTCAATTCCTTAATAAGCAGCCTCGTCCCATTGCACATGCTGGGAGGGCTTACATTTTTCAAAAACATGATTCGGATTTCGAGGATGATTTGGAATTAACAGCATCCTTTTCAGGAACAGAATTTTTTTGGTTACTTTTTTTTTGCAACGAAATTTTGCGTTAACATTTCAATAAAAATTAAAAACAGTTAAAAATAATATATTTTATTTATATGTCTGTGCCTGATAACTTAACGCTTTCGTGCTGAAACAATCTTGTTCGTAGATAACTGTCTAGACCAGCCAGGTCAGGTCATATCTAAGAGCTGTAACAGGTATAAACGAATTAATACAGTCTTTGTGTAAAGAGCTTGTGTAATTTTAAAAATATGGAATTTATTGAATACACCTAATTCTGTTTTTACACGGTATATTGGTTCCAGAAAAAGTCGTGTAAAAAAACCTTGTAAAATAAGACATTGATCATGTTAAATCAAAATCGTGTAAAAACATAATTAGGTTATATTTAAAATGTTGGCACAGAAGGATTGACAACTTATAGCCACTATGAAGATTATAGACTATGAAGCTAGGTTTGAGTATTTGTGATGGCTTTATGATTAGGCCCATCCAATTGAAGAAGTCTCAAAAAAGAAGAAGAAGATGTCTGAATTATGTAGACCAATTTTGTAATTCTTCCGTGGCTGTCGCCAATTGTATTAAATGCTTGGCAATTGCATTAGGAAATCGAATACGTTTTTGGAGAAATACCCTTGGTGTGCAACAAAATGAAATCAATTAGTACGCTTGTCATATAATTTGTTTTATGTTGGATTAACAAATAAGCGATAAAAACACATGGCGGCAAAAACAAGTTCGAATTGTGCCACACGCCAAACAACGTCACATGCCCGTTCCCCACAGTTGGGCTTTACCCCATAGGTATCAGTTTAATTGCCTCGTTTAGGTAAATGTAATTGAAATTTTCAATTTCCTGTCATAGTGTTGTCGAAAAATTACCGATTTTGTGTGCGAAAGCTTCAGAGTCAGAGCCACCGTTGAACAGCTTTATTAAATGGTAGATTCTCTAGCAGGTGATCGCATTGTACGTGCCCTTGCAATGGACGTTGCCACTGACCAGGTCTCTCTGGTATTATGTAGCAGTGACCAGTGCCTGGCATTTGCTATTCCTGGAGCATTAAATTCCCATTCGTCTGCCTTAACTATTCCACAAATTGAACTGAAATTTCTGACACGATAAGTTGACGGCCTCTTTGGAGTGGGTGGCTATTTTCGTGTTCCCGAACTACTATGTAAATTTTAAGCGAGTAATCACGCCTTATCAGAGTCCGAGACAGAAACAGAGACAGAGACGCTCTGTGGCTTAGGTCAGTAATGGGCCAGAACAGCACTTGGCTCTGGTACAGTTGCGCGCGACTTGCTAAGCTGCAATGCTTAAGATGTCATAAGCGTGTCAACTTGGCAGGGCTACAGCTTAGTCCAAAGCCTGACGAAGATGCATGACCAGAGACAGAGAGAGAGAGAGAGATAAAGAGACAGAGAGACAAAGAGAGAGACAGAGAAAGTAAGCTGCCTAAGACAGAACGGGCAACGGTATCTCGGCGCCCGTTTCCTAGGTGGAACTCGGGGCAAAGTTCCACGATATAGTGCGAGTAGTACACGTCTCAACAAACAACTGTGTCTCCAAAGGTTGCGACGACAAGTTAACTCAATTAAAATTCCGTTGTCGATAAATGAAGTAGTTCTTGCGGCTGTAACGAGCCAAGATACTTAGAGATACTGGCACACGCGTATTTGACATTGCCAAATGTGCTTATCAGCATGATGGAATGCCAAAGACCTTGCATAAGTTCAATTAGAACTGCTGGCCTGCACAAATTCCCAGAAGTGCGCCGCTCTTATGCAAGGCTTTCGACTATCGGCCAAACTCCAAATTGGGCCCTATCAGCTCTTCTTGTTATTGCTGTTGTTGTTTCCGTAGTCGGATACACAAATACAAATACAAATAGAATACACCAGGCAAATATTTTAGCCATGATTCGTCTGCACTTGAGCGACGGCTATCGGTCGCCTGCTTCTGTGCAAGCAACTCGAAGAATGTACAAACCTTTTTGCGTTTTAGCCAACAATATATGTACGAGTACATATTGGCCCCAAGCTGCCACTCGAGACTGGGCATGGTTCGAACAGGGCCTACTCTTATAGCTCTGCTGTTATGCCCTCGATTGCTCGCTGATAAAATTCCATTAATTTATTTTCAACCGATTTATTTTTGTGGGCCTAGCTAAAGCCTCTATGACACTTCGATTCTATTTTCCTTTGGATTACTTTGGCAAAATTAGAATTCTCGGAATTAAGTCTCCCTTTCGTCACCACCTGCGAACGCTTATATAGTAGCACAAAGATAATGTCAGAAGTAGTAAAGTGGTGCTCAAATTATTGTCAAGTACATAGTAGTACTACTATAGACGCAATACCTTTAATAATAATATAATATATTTTGAAATAATTATGTAAAATAGTATGTATGTCTATATATACTGAATCACATATGTATTGATGAAGTCGATTCGAAAAAGAATAACCGAAAGAATAACAAGAAAGGAATGTTTGAGTGGAGCAAACCCAACTCTAATAAACTTTATCGAATTTTTATTGAATTAATTTTTTGTTTTCATTTATATAATTTAAATTAAATAAAAAATATATGCTTATGTACAGTTTCATTAGCACAACAACTGCTACTGGCAGAGCTTGATATTCAGGCTAGGATATAACTTAATTCTTAACAATACGAATAACTAATAGAGGGGGAGTGGGGGATGTATCAGAAAAAAATTAACAAACTTTGTCTGTATATATATGTATATAAGGCACCTGGGTGCAAAATTTGGTGCCTCTACGTTTTATAGTCTATCAGATCTCGGTGTTCATACGGTCAGACATGGCTAAACCGGCTTGGTTAATAATGCTGATCATGAATATATACGAGTATTATAGATATATGAACTTTATATAAATCGGAGCAAACCATGTCAAAAATGTTCAATTTTCTTTATGTTTACAAATCATTCACGACATCTACACTTTTAATCCACTTCTATTCACCGGCTTCACGATGCGTTTGATGAAATGTTGCTGTTGCATTCCATTGCGCATCGGGGTCATCATCACTGGGATTATGTTTGGTTCTTGTGACACAATATTGGGTAGTATAGGCCTTATTATGGCTATACGAAACGAGTATCCAATGTCCATACATGAGTTCTTTGATAAATTGGATGTACGATTGTGGGTCTCCATGTTCTCGGCCACGCTCTTCCTGATGTCCTGCGGCGATTTGCTATTGGTGTATGGAGCCGTGAAGGTAAGAGATAAGTTATGTCACAAATCCTATGCAAATATTTCAAGCCGGCTACCTTTACTTATTAAGCAAAGACCCGGCTATATGGGACCATGGCTGTTGGTAAACTTTTTCGTGGGCATCGGCACCATAGTAACGGCGCTTCTCAGTTCCATCGCCATTTTAAGGATTAGTAAGCCGACAAATAAATGTAACATTACGATTTTAATTTAATTCTATACACAGTTATACTTTACTACTGCATGTTTGTAGTCAGCTCGTACTACGATGAACTGATGGAGGAGCGAAATAATTCCTAGCCCATCTTATTATTATTATTATTGCCTATAGTTTTGAGTGACTCTGAGTAGAAGGGCACTTATGCACCGTTAAGCCAGTGGAAGGATTGTGAGTCACTTATCGCGACAATTTAAACAAACAGGATTAAGCCATAACGAACCTGAATTTTAAGGGGCCGTCAAAAGCTGCGCTTAAGTCTCATTAAAAATCCATTAAACTCGATAAAACGAAGTAAATAAAAACAAACGGACAGAAATGAAATACAATTTTGTTAATAAGCTCTACACAACAGCACCAGCCCGAGAAATGGTGCACTTGGGGATAGTTGTGCAGAAAGGGGGGAGCAAACAAAATCCGAAAAAAAACAGCGACTGCGACTCAAGTGGCACTTAAAAGTTGCCTCATTGTGGAGCACGACTCGGGTCCAGGCTGAACTTCGCAGTGAGTGCATTTCGATGTTGAATAAGTAAATAAATCATGTGGGACTATCGAGTGGCAAACTCGAGAGTGGCTGTTGTTCGATTTGCCAAAATAATGGTGGCACGAAGTGCATGCTGCTCGCAAATCAATTCTTCAATTCATTTTCGAAAAGTATTTCATTTCGGTAATGATTAATAATTTCAATATTAGTGAATTATTGAGAAAACGACTTGTAGAAAAAATGTCAGTAAACAGTTATTCTTTTAATTAGGATATACAAGTAGATTCATCCAAGACTTTTGCGATTAAAAGAGTAAAAGTATTTTGAATTAATATAATTTTCACACTATATTCTTTTTTGCTAAGAATATCAGCCTAAATAATTCATTTTACTCACCAACTTACCCACACTAATCAACAAACTTATCCATCACATTGGAAGTGCAATGCAAAATTCAACTAGCGTGTCCCAGAGAGGCTTGCTGCGGTCAGACATGCAAATTATTTGCGTTCGAATTAATCAAATAAGGCTTGCATGCAATTAAAGATATTATACCAAATTGAATAAACTTTAATTGAATAAACTTGAATTGGAAAAACACACTTCTGCATAAAACGACCCTAAAACATACCTTACAGAATTCAATTGGCTTTGCTCTAAATAAAGCATTTGATTAACTTAATAGTTCCATCACATAAGAGGCAATTGACTACCTAGAGCACGAATTAATCATCAAATGGACTGCCGATTACCACATGCCAGTGTTACACTAATGCTGTTCCCCCCTCCTCCTACTCCGATGAGCAATTGCGCGCTTGTTTACTTACTTTATTTCATTACACCTATTTCATATTTTATACTGCTTGTTCAAACAAAAAATGTAGACCTGTATGTGTGTGTGTGTGTGTGTGTGCATGTGTATATATATATATATATATATGTGTGTGTGCGTGTGTGTGTGTGCAAGCAGAGCTTAAACGGCACGTCAGGCCATAAAAAGTCTTAACCCGATACTCAATTGCAGGCCAGGCAGCGGATAGGCCGGGTGAATGACACGCTGAGTGTGTTATGGCAGACGCAGACATAGAGGGATGGCAGAGGGAGATGGCGAGGGCGGGAAGGAGACGGAAGGAGGGCGAGGTAGACAGACAGCCAGTAAGTCAAATAAGCCACACACTGTGTCAAACATTTATCAGCACACCCGGAGTTCGTGTTGCTGCAACGATAAGAGAGGCAGCTACCCGCTATCCACAACAAAGTTGCGATCGATCGGCCCATGCTGCAATGAAGTTATCAAAACGGTCGTCGAGTGCTTAAACTTGAATACAAAACGTTTCACAACTTTGTTTAATGCGTGGCATAAAATTCACTTTCTTACTTTATGATGACCCCGCCGTGCGTTTTACGCGATCAGCTCTCGATTCTCTTCTAGGTAGATCGAGAATTTACAGCACTCGACTGAGGAATGTCTATAAAAAAAACTGCGCTTAATTAAAATCACATAGCGTGTTGCAACTGTTGTTGCAGTTTCTGCCACTTTTGTTGTTGCTGTTGCCTTCTGGCCGTGTGTCCAGCGCGCTTTTCAATTTTCGCAAATGCCGCGTCATGAAAACCACTTGCAACTAACCCATATTTATGGGCATGGGCCTGAGTATTGGCATCCTTTTTCAGCCAACTAAATGAGATTTTCCCCCAAAACACCAAACAGCATAATTTTCACGCGCAATGAAGCGCAGAAAATTGTGCACAGGCGTTGCCCAAGTCGACCGACAGACACACCTAAGTGTCAGCACCCAGTGGAGGCAACGGTGGCAACTGTTTTGCAGCAACTCGCAAGCTGCTTTGTTGCAATTGGCGTTGCAGCAAAAGCTGTTGTGGCAGTAATGAGCTGATTGTGTGGCAACAACAGATAACTGTGCGTAGGCTGATGGCTCAGTCGTTGCATCTGCATCCTGACCTGGTGAGCAGTTGACTTGCCATTGTCCGCCTCGATTGTCTACCCCAACAATGGCCAACAGACAAGCACGCTTCTTTATAGTGTTTTCAAGGGCTTCGCAGTGCCTCCGAAACGTGCACATTGACGTTGACATTGACAGACATGTTGATATGTATATTTAGATATCTAAGTACATTTGTAGACGAAGGTATTTTTAGACCAATCACGCAACTGACAACTAAATCTCGCACTCTCACTTTTTTCGCCTCAAGCAGAGAATCAGTCCCAGTTCCACTCCCAGTCCAAGTCCCAGTCCTATCAAAATCAGACCAAAAGCAAGTGCGCCCGTCAATCTCAATGCCTGTATTGACAGCTTCGAGCTCTAACACAGTCGTTGCGAATATTTATGACCCACTCTGGGTTTGTCTGCAGCTGCTCGACTTTTTGGAGCTGTTTAAATTAACTTCTGCGATAGCAGCTAGCAAGAGATACAACGTCAGTATGATTTGCTAAACAGAGACATTGATATCTTTTTTTATCGGACAATGCATGATTAAGGTTGGAATTCGCCAAATATTTTTTTTTTTTTTTGTATTAGCAGAGTGTTTTATTTAAAACTGTCCATCGTGTACAATCATTAAATTGGTTAAATAAACTTGACAATTAATTTACTTTATTTATGATTCCCCAATATGTGTACCAAAAGTGTACCTAAACTGACTTCGAAGGATGTTGTGATGCCTACTTGACCTTGAAAGGCTGTCTTATCTGTAAACGCCTTAAATAATTTATCAGGTTATGTTACTTTATAAGGTTATGTTGATGAATTTTAATTTGTCAAATGAAACATTTTTGCTTCCATTTCAATATAACTTTCAAGTTTCCAAAATATCCTCTGGCCGTTTATTAAACTACAGGGACTGTAATCATTATACATAGGTGTTATTAAAAAAATTACAAAATAATGATTATTTCTTAATTTTATTCATTCGCTCACAATATGATTAATTTTGAGTTTTGCTTAACAACTTATCTTAAAAACCAATTTTTTTGAGGACAAACAAAAACTCATTAAATAATGATTATTCATTAAGTTTAATTTGGCTTATCAAAAATTAACATCAAGTTGTAACTGTCCCTGCCTTTTTCATAGGGACTAGGGAAAGCCCGTAAACCCTATAGTAAAGTTTTGGGCTAAAAAAAACATTATTAAAAAATATTTTCAAGCAAAATTGCAGCTGAGTTTTACTATATAACGATTATTTTTTGAGTTTTATTTTTTTTTGCTCAAAAATAATGATTATTAGTTACTATAAGTTATAAAGTAAAACTCAAAGTTATTCGTTATATTTTGAGGGAATGAATAACAAAATTTAAATTTTTAAAGCATGCTGAAAATACATAATCTTAAAAAAACGATATTAGTAATTTCCTCGGTTTCTCAATGTAAGTGAATGATTTTTTCGTTAAAAAAAATAATATAATTATTATTTGAGGTTCCTGTTAAATTGAGTTAATTATTTTAAAATCGATTCAATTTGGATCTGCGGGGCATAATGTGAGGCTCAATGATGCAGTATCAGTCAAAAGGTATACTAAGTATAGATCCCTGATCTCGATATTGCACTTTCTAATGTTCGCTTTTCTCAATTTCGTGTGTTTTGCTTTCAGTTATATTTATGTATAGTATGATTGATTGCCAACAAAATTTTGCAAAACGTCATGCAACTGTGTTAAGAAACAGACTCGAAGCAATTGCTTAAAATCAGTTGACAGAAACATATATTAAAAATTCACCAAATAGTACGACAAGCTTATAAAATATTATTTATTATTTTTTGATTTCATTTTGTCAGAGCTCCCATTGAGGGACAGAAAATGGAACAAAAGCAATAACATGTTTAAAGAGCGCAGCATGTCATTAAAAATCAGTCTTACGATTTAGCACACACCATACGAGTACACCCGTCCATCAAATACTATATACTTGTAGTTTGCACACAGCTTACTGGCAATGGCTAAGTATTGTTGTTCCGTATCAATTTCACCCCACAGCAGGCCAGAGCGTCGTCTTGAACCTTTTGCTAAAGGCAACATAATTCGCTTCCGTTTGGCAATCCGAAATGTAAAAAAAATATGTTTGGGTTTGTGGCACAGCGCTTTGGATGAAGAAAGGGTTGCCAGCACCATGACAGCTTCCTTTTAGCGCAGCGCCCTTTGCGGTTGCTCGTCTAGCTGTTCTTTCGTTTGTGTGTCAGTTGTAAGTTTTGCGTCTTTCCGCTTCCGTTTAAGTGAGACGATGACAGCGACGTTTGCGCCAGTGGCTTCTGCCTCGGCGACGGCGTCGGCGTCGAAGTCAGCGTCGACCAAGCGACCCCATAAATCCACACGATGTTTGTCTTACGAGTAAATTGTCGTCGTTGCCGTCGCCAGCTTTTCTATTTATTCTCCTTTTACATTTTTGTTGATTTTATTGCACAGCTCCGGCCACGGGTTCAATGAACGCATCTGACGGCGCCATTTGCAGCGGGAGTGGGCTGTGCGTGTAGCCAAAAATGTTTTGTGGGACGCGGTTTTTCATTACAAATGCCAGACATTTTTCTCTAATTTCAAACTGTTCTCTGCAGCGGCTCGACAGTTCGAGAATGCCAAACAAAAACTGCCCAGCAATGCACGCAACATTTGGCAAACAACTAGCCACAACAATCAGAAACCCAACCGCCAGAACTGCACCAAGGGGCCGAATATTCGAGAGTGGGTCATTACCGGGCTCCATCACGGCTTTTGACATGCAACTTGGGGGTGTGTTTGCGGAATGGACGGTCATTATGAAAAGGATGCACCTTAATGTGAGGATTCACGATGGGCGGTCCTCGTTTATGTAACAATACAAAGTACATTTCT